TGTTAATGGACTGGGACCCAAAAAGGGCATTCTTAGCTCCTGCCAGGAAAATCCCTGGAGGAGCCAGGATGTGCTAGTTTGTCAAAGACTTGCAGATGTTTTGCTGTAAGCTATTTCATGATCTCAGAATTACAGTTGGCTGTATATATGGAAATAGCTGAGCCTTAAACATATTAGTATAAAGCCGTTCTAGCTGATCAATGCTAACATTAAGGAATGTTTCCTAGTTGTTAGAGGTGACTCTGAGAAATATTAGGACTATAGTAATCTCTGTCAAAGTTATAACCTACGTTGCTGTAGCAATGTGTATTCTCCAAACAGACCAGCGTAGCACTTGCTAGTAACACACTCCTTCCTAAGCTTTCCTCATAAGGAACATGTTTAAATGCTTAGCACTTTCTTTTTCTCCCAAACAGGACTGCAGGCACACAACAGAATAAACTGTGGTATGGTTTACTAGCTCTGGGCACTCTAATCCTGTATTCTGTAGCTGTGGCTGCCTTGGTTTTGATGGCTATCTTTTACACACGTTATTATGGCTGTACCTTCAACAAGATCCTGCTTGGTGTGAATGGTGGCCTGTGCTTCCTTATTTCTTTGGTAGCCATATCGCCTTGTGTCCAGGATCGTAAGTATGCTGAATCCTTTGTCTGTGATGTGTTCTAGGGCTTCACATTTCAGTTAAGAGCTGCTATGGCTCCCTGTGCTCCTAATAACACCAGACTTACTCAGCATGGTGCTGTTTGAACATGGGGTGATGTTGATATAGTCTGTCTGCCAGGACACACTGCCATCAATCTGCCTAGCCCAGAGATAGGCAAAATACAGCCTATGGGCTGGATCCAACCCACCGACTGATTAGATCTGGCCCACGCTCCTGGTGCTCTCCCACCAACTGATTGTATCCAGCCCGCAGCTGCCCCCACAGTGCTCTGAATGAAGCCAAGCCCCACCTGGTCCTGCCCAGGGCAGCCTGGCCCCAGCTCCAGCCCCGGTCAGCATGTACAGCTCCCTGACACAACTTTTCCTAGTGTGGCTGTAGCTGCCTGAGTACTGCTTGGTTCCCCCCACCTCCAGTGGTGGCTTCTCCTCCTGGCTCTGCTGTGCCACTTTGGGCAGCAGGTTAGCATGGGGAAGGGTAGTAGGCATGGGGACGCATGCTGGCCATTGCACACCTAGCCAGGCAGGGGGGAAGCTGCAGCTGGGTGGCTCCTGCCCTAGCACACAGGGCTCCAGCTCCTGGCTGCTTTCCATCCACTTCGTCCACCTGGCACAATGGGCAGCTACCTGCAGATGGCCAAATGGGTGGAAGGTGTCTGGGTGGGCCTGATGGTGGAGGTGGACTGCACCTGCACCACACCCCCTGGGCAAGCTCTGCTGCATGTGCTGCTTAGGGCAACCCC